CTGTATAACTCCTGCCTCTCCCAGGCTGTATGTACTGGACACCTGGAAGAGCAGCTTGGTCTTCTTTTTTTCCAATTAGCAATAATTGCACCTCAGATAAACCTCATTGGCTATGACACTGCCACTGTGCAAAGCTTGGCAGATGAGTTTTTAAAAGGCTGTGACTTTTGCCTCTCTACACTGTAATGGCCTCTTTTTCAGGGGCACTGTGGGCCTCCTTTTCTTTTGTTTCTTAACTGATGCCCACACCTGATTGTAAACAGAATGAGTTTCTCTTCTGCAGAGCATTTTCTATTAAATATACACTCTGCATCTTCCACAATATTCATTCATGTTCTTTACCTTTTATGAAAAAGTGGTAAAGAGGGAACTAATTCTCTCTTTTTTAGCTGAGAAGGTGTCTTCTTGAGGCAAAAATCTAAAAGTAAACCAAAAAGGAAGGGGAAAAAATAAGAAAGTCCCACTTGTTGAAATACATAGCTTTCCAGAAGCCAGGAATTTATGTCTTTTTTTCTTTTTAATTTTCTTGTATGTCACTAGTCCAACAAGATTGTTTTTCTTAAAAGTGAATTTTACCTAAAATTCTTTATTTATACGTTTACCAGTGAAAATTTCATACCTCAATAATTTCTTTTTTAGTTTTGCACCTAGTCCAAAATGATCTTATAGAATTTGTCCTCTGAATATCAATGGAAAAAATGAGTTAGCTTGCACAAATCGCAGAACTCCGGGTGTGTAGCTCCTTCCTGCCTCGTTTGTAAGAACAGCATGGCCATGAGTGTGTGAGGGGAAAAGGAGTGAAGAACGTGTTTATTGGAAGACAGAGGGTTAAACAGTTGGAAGTCCATTATTGGATCATTTATGTGGAAAAAAATCATTAAGAATTTTGAGAAGTGTGGGTTTGGAAGAAGTGACAGGAGGTCAGTAGCTAGCATCTTGAAGAAACAAAGAGAAGTCTAGTACACTGTTGGTGGGATTGCAGACTGGTACAACCACTATGGGAAACAGTATGGAATTTTCTCAGAAAACTAAAAATGGGTATGCCCTTTGATCCAGCAATTCCACTGCTAGGATTGTATCCTAAGAAGCCTAAAACACCAATCCAAAAGAACCTTTGCACCCCAATGTTCATAGTAGCACAATTTACAATAGCCAAGTGTTGGAAGCAACCTAGATGCCCATCAGTAAATGAATGGATCAAAAATCTGTGGTACATTTACACACTGGAATTCTATGCAGCAGAAAGAAAGAAGGAGCTCCTATCCTTTGCAACAGCATGGATGCAACTGGAAAGTATTATGCTAAGCGAAATAAGCCAGGCAGTGAAAGACAAATACCATATGATCTCACCTTTAACAGGAACCTAAACAACAAAACAAAGAAACAGGCAAAATATAACCAAAGACAATGAAATAAAGAACAGACTGACAGAGTTCAGAGGGGAGAGGAAAGGGAATTTCAGGGGAAAAGGGGAAGGGTTTACAGGAATGAGTATAAAGGACACATGGATAAAAACTAGGGGTGGGTGGAAATGGGAGGGATGAGGGGAGGGCTGGGTGGGTGGGTTGAGGTGGGAGTAAAAGATAGAAAATTGTACTGCAACAACAATTAATATGAAATTTAAAAAAAGAAATAAAGAGAAGTGACATACGAGTCTATAGATGTCTGTAGGTGGAGGAGACAGAGTTTCGAAGCTTGCAGAAGGTGGAGATTAAAAAGGAAGGAAGGACTATGATCTGCAATGGCAGCGAGTATGAGGACACTTACTTTTCCTCCAGGGCCTGTAAAACAGCGATTTTCAACCTTTTTCATCTCATGGCACACATAAACCAATTACTAAAATTCTGCAGCACAACAAAAATACATATTTTTTCTGATCTGATGAAAAAATAGATATTATTTTGATTCATTCATACCAGATGGTTATTGTGGTGGCCGTTGTCATTTTTTGATTTGACAACCTAAGGGATAAAAAAGACAGTGCCCCTGACTAAATAGTCAGGTATTACATGTTTTAAACATTCTTGTGGCATACCTGTTGAAAACCACTGGTATAAAGGGGTTCCAGAGATAAGGAGAGAAACCATCCACCTTAGGAGATGAAGTGTCCTTGGAGGAGAGACACTCTCAGTTAGACCCAAGTGAAGGAAGCACTTAGAAAAGTTTGAGGAAGGAGAATGATGACCACAGGGTCCAAAGGGCACACTTGGAAGGGTTTTGTGAGAAATGGCCCCTTAGGTGATGGGTTCAGAGCAGAGGTTGTATGCGACAGTATGGAGATGAGAGGCTGAGCAATTAGACACGGATGCTTAATGAAACCCGAGACAAAAGGGCATGGTGGGATTAGTGTGGATGGCCTTTCACTGGGACATTGGGAGTGCTCTACCAGCAAGTTCCTATCCTGCTAGGCAGATCTACTTAAAACTATAGCTCCTACCAATGTATTATTAATTCAGATGTCATTTTCAAACATTAGATGATTAGATCATTTGTACAGAATTGTTAGCTTAGCTAGATAATCAATGAAAGATTTATTAATTTTCCATATTACTATTATATGTTCAACTTGGATCATTTGTATACACAGATAATAATCATTTCTAGCTTGCTAAATTCTTAAAGCCAGTAGAAAAGAAACAAAACCACCCTTATGTCATGTTCTTAGTAAGCATTCAACTCATGACGTCATCATAGGGCATTTATTTAAATAAGTAATCTAAAAACAAATTAAAGCATTTAAAATAGATACAGAAATAATGTATAACATTCTTTAAGTTGGGCAGGAAAATTATTCTATCGGAGTGTCATTAATATTAACAATTTCTGACTTACTACATTTAAGGTTCTATATCTCTGAAATCAGGTTATAAAATATGAGGAGGAAGCCTCTGAGTTGATTGGTTTTTTATCTTGGAACCTAACATTATGTGTGGATACGCAAACAACAAGGCATACAAAGTTGTCAAATTACTTTTTTATCTTCTATGGATTTAGTCTTCTAAAATCAGACAAGTGCTTTCCCCCAGCTTCCCATACTTTATTTTCAGACCCTAGTTTCTACTGAGCAAATGAATCTACTCAAGATGATATCATGTAGGAATGGTTTTTTGACTGGTAGTAATTAATTTGCAAACTCTTCTAACAGTGATTAGAGTGTGGTGCTCGATTCCTTTAATATGTGGATGGCATAAGAAAAAGAAAGAAGGAAAAGGGGGAAAGAGTGAGAAAAATATCTAAGTAGAAGATTGCTAACTTAACTGATAGAGTTTAGTTGGGTGCACACTTAAATTTCATGGTAAAATAGTCATCATTCCTTCAGTAAAATTTTAATTATAATTCACATATTGCTCAGTTTAATAACCTAGCTTTAGTCTACTGTTTGTTCTTTTATGAAATGGGCTTGGGTGTCTATTTAAATAAATCTTATGGTTCATTATGAATATGTTTACTCCTGGGAATGGAAGGCAGAAACAGGCTGGAAGAAATGTTTTAGATTTATTAAAGTGTACATTTTAGTTCCTAAATAGTCTGTCTATTCATTCAATTCTACTTTTGGATAAATTTAGATTTCCATGTGGTTTTGGTCTATACTGTCAGCCCAGAGGAAATGGGAAGAGATGAAGAGGAAGGCAAACTCCTAGAATTCTAAGACTTGTTTTATTTTCTAGCATTTTCACAAAATAGTGTCAGGTTGTTCATTGATTGCCAGAAATTTAGATTCTTCCTCCAAATGTCTCTCTATATATACACACACACAGACACATATACCTATATATATACATATATATATAATGGATATATGTCTAGAGTACTATATATATTTCAAAATGTACTGCAAATTCAATAATGTAGCTGGTAATTATAGAGTCCTATAGAAACAAAAGGGACATTTTTAGACTAGGTCCCATGGAGCTTTGACGTTCTTCAATGAGGCATGAGGAGGAAGCCTAGTAGAAGAAGCTATCACTGTTTAACAAAATTTTACTTTCATATGTTTAATAAACTGTGATTGCATGAAAAAAATTAAGGGGTTTTAGAGGTAAAAAAATAGCACTGCAGTGCCATGCTGGAGCCCACACTGAAGCCCAGGCCCCCTGGGCTCCCATCGCTACACTTTCCTCTGGGCCACATCGCTTCCCGCTGTGCACCTCGCTCTGCATGTTTAAAATCCTTAGTGATTTGGACCACAACAGAACACTCAATGAGTAGGTGCCATTTTTCAAGTCATTCTACATTCTGGTATGAAAGTTCAAAGCTCAGTGTTCTTGAAATAATTTATCTGAGTTGATCCTTTTTGCAGTGAAAAAATACTGGGGTAATAACAAAGAAATGGTACTAGTAATTGAGCTATCAGGCCGTATTCCAACTTTAGTGGTTTTATGAACTAAGCCTCAATTTCTTGTCAGAAAAATTATGTCATGTCTTCCTTATAAGGAATAATGTTGGTATCATCAATATTAAAATGTTAAATGAAATAATTCATGGAATATATTTATAAACTGGAAGTAAGGTATGTATGTTTCTTGCTATTACAATCATGTAAAATAAAAAATATTTTTATATGATCAAATGGGGAAGGAGGCATTAGTGGATATCACTTCTGTTGAAGAAGCATATTTAAAATATCTCACTTTTTAAAATTATTTCAATTCTAAACTTCCTTGCTTGTACCTCTCCTTTAGAATATAAGCTTCTCATACAAAGGTTTCCTATGTGCAGACTATTTTCATAGATTAAAGTGTATGAAAAATATTTTTCATTTGACCTCTGACCTACAAAAGTGGCAGTTTTATGTATTTCAACCTATTAATTCAGCTTTTCATTTTCAGCAGTGTATGGCATCAAGTAGTTGTTAAAAATTATTAAACTAAACCATTGAACTCAACTTAGAAACAAAAGCTCTATCCAAAATAATTATTTTTCAGCAAGAATTAATAAGTAAAATGTATTAGAAGTAGAGTCATCAAATAAGCAGTGATTCACTCTTTTTTCTCTTCCAGGTTTCTGGGATAAATATATTGAAATAAAAGATGTAACTTGACTTGGGTTTTGGAGAAAAGTCAACACACAAAGGAAAAAATAAACTGGTGGATAGCCCTCAGGAATGATGTCCTTTTGCCACAATATAGTAAACATTTCCTGTGTGAAAAGCAGCTGGTCGAATGATGTCCGTGCCTCCCTGTATAGCTTAATGGTGCTCATAATTCTGACCACACTGACTGGCAATCTGATAGTTATTATTTCCATATCGCACTTCAAACAACTTCAGACCCCAACTAATTGGCTCATTCATTCCATGGCCACCGTGGACTTTCTGCTGGGGTGCCTGGTCATGCCTTATAGCATGGTAAGATCTGTTGAGCACTGCTGGTATTTTGGAGAAGTCTTCTGTAAAATTCATACCAGTATTGACATTATGCTGAGCTCAGCATCCATTTTCCACTTGTCCTTCATTTCCATTGACCGCTACTATGCTGTGTGTGACCCACTGAGATACAAAACCAAGATCAGTGTCTTGGTTATCTTTGTGATGATATTCATTAGCTGGAGCATCCCTGCCCTTTTTGCATTTGGAATGATCTTTCTGGAGCTAAACTTCAAAGGAGCTGAACAGATGTATTACAAACACATTCATTGTTTAGGAGGTTGCTCCGTCTTCTTTAGCAAACCATCCGGGGTACTGGCCTTTATGACCTCTTTTTACATACCTGGATCTATTATGTTATGTGTCTATTATAGAATCTATTTCATAGCTAAAGGGCAGGCAAAATCAATTAATGATGCCAAACAGAAGCTTCAAATTGGATTGGAAGAGAAAAATGGAATTTCACGAAGCAAAGAAAGAAAAGCTGCAAAGACTTTAGGGATTGTGATGGGAGTTTTCCTGATATGCTGGTGTCCCTTCTTTGTCTGCACGGTCCTCGATCCTTTCCTGAACTATGCTATTCCACACACCTTGAATGATGCACTGATTTGGTTTGGCTACTTGAACTCTACTTTTAACCCAATAGTTTATGCATTTTTCTACCCCTGGTTCAGAAGAGCACTGAAGATGATTGTATTTGGTAAAATTTTCCAGAGAGATTCATCTAGGTATACATTATTTTTAGAACCAAATCCATAGAACTATTATACGTTACCATTTTGCCAAACAGCTGCTGATTATATTTATAAACACTGTGTAAACAACCATATGTACCAACAGCAGAACCTTTTATCAATTATTTGATGTAAAGAATATATAATGAGATATGATGATTATATCTTTCTTCCTACTTGCGATGTAGTAGATACGATCTTTGCTATCCTTACCGTATATGTGAAGTTTTGCAAGTTCAGAATTTACTGTCCTACATCCAAAAAAATAAAACTTTTCCAGCTCTTTCATGAATTGCCATGAAACTGACAGCGGTTCTGCACCAGCTGTTCAGTGGTAGAAACTGTGGGCTGCATTTGGAAATGCAAAGTAGAGTGACCTTGTCCTTTATTTGCTTAAACATGTATTTTTTTTGTAAAAGTAACTAGAAGTACACTTGAATGTTATTTATTAAATAATTATTTATACATACTTTGCTATTTATCACAAATCTTTCTTAATATGTATTCTAATTCTTTTTATGTTTATTTTTAATTTTTTTACTGTTTGTATTCTAATTCTTAAATATCTTGATTTTTATTTTTTTAAAATGGGTATCCCTGATTCTCATACTTGTAGGAAATTTGGAAAATAAAGAAAAACATAAAAATAAAAATATCATTTATAGCTCACTTCCTGAAAGAACTATATTGTTTAAAACCCTTAAAAACATCATTTTTTGGTGACTGTATAATATTACATGGTACGGATGTACAAAGATATTTTTAACCATTTCACTATTGTTGACCACATAGGTGTTCTTAATCCTTAAAAAAAAATAGAAATTAACTCAAGTTTCTGTCTGTTAACTGCTCCTGCAGCTCATGAAAGTGTCTGGAAAGATTTTACTGCACTTCAAGGTTATACCTGATATGGTAGGATTCAAAATATGAACTATATAAAGTACAACAAATTCACTTGCTGGAGTCCAGGCTGCACCAAATGAGGGGCTGTCACTCATCAAAGCAGCAAAACAGAGGTATCATCGGAATAGACGTGCCATGCCTGTTTGGGTGGCATGCACAAAAAAACAAATGGTGGTTTCCAACAAGATCCCCGAAAAGGGAGTGGGCAAACACTCTAAATTATAACCATTGGTTTGCAATTAAATTGTTTCTCATCAGGCTTCACACAGTCTGTTTCATATGGGTAGTACCAGGGGGTTGGCTTTATTTATTTAACAATAGTAACATATGCTCCTGAGTGTGTTTGAGGAAGGCAGCTAATTTTAAATGAAAGTAAAGCTCATGTTCCTGTGTGTAAGTTTCTGTTCACAAACCTCATGATCTCCTGAGGATCGGTCAAAGTCTTTCCTCTACCATAGTCTGTTTTAGGACTGCATATTTTCTTTCATTGATCTGACTAGAGTTTTGTCCTGGTCCATTTAAAAAGATAACATTCTGAGTTATCTTTTCATTTAGTATAGAGTAAGATAAGCTTCTTCTAAGCCAGGGGTGTCAAACTCATCTTCATGGGGGGCCATATCAGCCTCCCAGTTGCCTTCAAAGGGCCGAATGTCATTTTAGGGCCAAATGTCATGTTACGACTGTATAAGTGTAACTACTCCTTAACAGTTAAGGGAGAGCTCGGTGCTCCCGCCAGGTAGGAAACAAGGTGCCCGACCGATACAACAAGGTGGAGGACCGGATTCGGCCCATGGGCCTTGTGTTTGCCACCTGTGTTCTAATCACTCCCGATTTCAAACATTCCCTTGACAATTTTTCACCTGTAAGACCCTTTTGTCAAATTTTAAAAAGGGAATAAATGCATGTAGACATTTTTCTGTACCTTACAGCAAATTTCTGTGGTGTTCTTCATTTGCTCCTACACATCCCTCCTAAGAGTATTCTTAGGTGTTTGTACCTCTGGGGTGTATATTTTGTTTATTGTAAATAAATCTTTTCTAAGGCATTATATTTTCTATGTGACCATTAATGTTGGCATACAATAAAAATTTATTTTAGCTTTTCAGCAGGCTTCTTTGGGTTTTCCTTTATTTAGCCATATTATCCTTAATTAAGCACTGTTAGTTTTATCTCCTTTACAATAGTTATGATTCTTATTTATATTCCCTGGTTATCAGTCAGAAGTTTCTAGAGCTATACTGATAATAGTGGTAAGAGTTATACTGTTTTACATTTATTTTAAAGTACTATCTAGACTTTAGTAGGGTCCTCATTTTTTTTGGAACAAGTCCATGACTCAGATAATTCTACCTTTTCACGTATGACTAAAACCTTCATAGGCTGCCTGTTTTTGTAACTTGTTTCTAGTGCTTATAATAAAATATAACCACAACCCACCCTCTAAGTAAAACAAGAAGAAAGACTCACTTTGCTTTGCCATATTCCTAGCTTTACTGCAGATTCCATTCCCTCATGCAGAAGGTATTTTTGTCTTTTGGTCACCAGAGTCCATTTCCTGACTAGTATCCAATTAGCTTTTGAAAAATATCTTATTTCAATCGAATATAGTCTGTTGGAACTGTAATGAGAAGAATGGTTTCCTGCTCTTCCCCTTAGCTGGACAGTTGGATGAATAACACAAGCTAAAGACTTTTCAGGAAGTCTTCCTCCAGAATTTGCATCTTTAGCAGATAGGAAAGCAGTGATCTTTAGCAGAACTGCTAGCAGAAGACAATAAAAGCACACGGGTTACCGTCTCATCCACATGTAAGATCATGACCAGTCTGCTCTTAGTATGGCCAGGGCTCCTGTTTCCCAGACTCCAGAGCTGCCTGACTCTCTATTCCCAAACTAAGTTCTCCCGTTTCTAATGGAATCCAGCTAGCTGTCTCATAAATTCCCCTTGAGAATAATTTTTGGTTGCACCACAGATAAAACCCTTAGCTTGATATACTATATTATGTTAAAGAAAGTGATTGCAAAACAGAATATTCCTTTCCCAAGTCCATACAGCTCCCAATTAAAACAGCCTCATTTCTCACTCTCCTCTCAAAGAGGAGTATTCATATAAATTTCTACCCAGGAAAAAATAAAAATAAAGTTACTAGCAAGGAAGTTTGTTGCAAAAGATTTATTGTTAATAAAAATAATGCCCTGGAAATTCCATCCTGATTTTAGACTTGTTCTTGAAGTGAATAATCCAGACTTTGTAGAGTCATAAATATTTGTCAAGGAAGTAGGGCAAACCATACAAACCTTAATTCACTGTGGATTCAAGTGAGTCAGAGTTTCTGTTTAGTCGTACATTGTCAACAAGAGCTTGAACTTTAACTTAAATGTATAAAGATACACAAAGAATGATTAGTATTTTTAAATTTAGCAGACTATGAAGTGTACCAACACAACTATTATTCCGAGAGATATTCTGAGTACTGCACAAAAACAATGTACATAATGTAAAAGTCAGATTAAGTGAAGGCATGTATGCATTTCATACAGTGTTTCAATGTAGATTGTTGTGTACATGGCCAGCTGCAAACAGTATTCAAAGGAAGTAAATTTGTCTTGGATTGGTCCTGACCTTTACCCCCACACCCCAAACTCCTTCTCCTAAAACCCCTCTCCCAGTTTCTAAACTCTCAGTGAAATTTATGCTGCTCCAACATCCTGTCTTTGTTAGAATATCCCATTCTGGATTGTTCTACTGCAAAGTCTTATCAGCCTCAGCATCTAATTTGTTTCTGTCTTTGATTTTTCCCAAGAGAAAGAAATCATTAATTCACACAAATTAAAAGTTATCACCATATATATTGAATAAAGTGGCAGAGGCTTAAAGTTAAGCTACTCACAATGGTTTATCAATGGCAAGCTTTCTTCTTCATTAATCTAACAGTCAGATAAGCAATAACTGAGATGATAAACTCTAAACTTTGTTGGTCAACGTTTTCACAATGTGATGTGTTAAAGTAGTGTTTCTCAGGAGCCATGATATAACTATAAATAATGTGGACGCTCAGGCCCTCTATCAAGAAGCTTATCTGTGGTGAAGAGGGCAAACTTGGGAGCCAGAGGCCAGTGGGTTCAAATTCTGGCTCCAGTATTTATCAGCTCTTACTTGGACAAAGGTACTTAAAAGTTCTAAACCTCAGCTTACCCACCTAGAAGATGAGGACAATACCTGCCCTCACTGGACTGTTGATTATTAGATGAGACACACTGTCTAGCGTGGGCTTTGCACATAAAAACACTCAGCTAACATACGTCATTAGAATTTTTTTTCTTGGCATTTTGTTGGTATGTGCTGTGGTGCTGCTCGCTCAGAAGATGCTAAGGGAGTGTATGCAGAGAAGTTGACCTAGGCAAACATGGCCTTTTCTTTTAAAAGTCAGTGCAGAATTACATCATTCTCTTTCCTATTAAATTTCACAGCTACAGTTATGAAAAAGAAGAGCAGAGATTTACTCCAAGGTCTACAGAGAAGAGAGTTGACCTGCTAACACACTTCTGTGTTGTTAGTCTGCTGTGTGTCAGTGTTCAGTGCCAGGACGTTTGAGAGACTGGGGATTTTCATTTCTTTAAAAAATAATTTATATAAAATGTGTATATATTTATATAAAATAACTATTTATATATATATCTATAATATTGCTATTTCATTTACAAACTATTATCTACTTATCTAATGAATTTGGATGATACTTTGTGTAGGCCCTCGCAAGGGTGTCCAAACTTTTGGCATCTCTGGGCCACACTGGAAGAGGAAGAGTTGTCTTGGGCCACACATTAAATACATTGCAACAGGTAGTCACAAAAAAGTTTCATAATGTTTCAAGTAAATTTACGATTTTGTGTTGGGCCACATTCACAGCCATCCTGGGCTGCATGCGGCCTGTGGGCCGCAAGATGGACACCCCTGCAAAGCATGTTAGTGTAGAGTCCTGAAGCACCAGGGTCAGCCTCACACTTTGGAACAAGACAAGCCTGGGGTCCAGTCCCAGCTGTCTGTGGTTCTGTGCTTTCTCTCCTTGGTGCCTTTTGCTCCTGCAACACCTGCCCCCCAACCCATGCCTGAAATGCTTCCTCCCCCGCTCTACCTCTCTTAACTGGCTGACATTTACCCATTTTAAAACACTCATCGTGAAAGTTATTACCTCTCCAGGAATTTATTTATAATCCCCAAAATATCCCATGCACTTCTTGTCAGGGCACTTACTGGTTATGTTAAAGTGCCCACTGTCCCCAGTGGACTGTAAGTTGCAGAAGTTCATCACCGCGCTTTATTCATGGTTTTACCCTGTGCTTAGCACAAAACCTGGCACAGAAAAGTCATTCTGTGTTTTAGGTAAATATATGTTTTTTATAGGGAGATACATGAAAAAGGAAAAACAAGGTGTCCACACAGGTAGACCTAATAAAAGTTAGAGAAAGATTAGAGCCCAAATCTGTCTGGCTACAGACTTCTCCCTCTTTCCTATTTCTGGAACTGGGGCCCACTGTGGGGAAACCATGGGGTTCATAGTTTTATCTCCAGTCAAGTTTAAGCAGATGCACCTATATGCATTTAATTTTGGCAGTAAGGGCGTATTCTTTATGACAATATACATATGCAGAGTATGTTTTACTTCTCTTGCATCAGCTGAAGTTTTCTTTCTCAGATTTACACTTTGCCTTTGCTTAGTAGTCTGAGAATTCCCCAAACATTTGGTTTCTCAAATAAAGTTTCGTGG